CATAAAAAAGAAGAAAGGGGAGATAAGCACGATAGATGTTTGATAGGAAAGAAGAAGCAAACCACACCACAGCACCCGCCAACCACCCACAGTAAAACTCGCACAAGAATCAGAGCTCGGTTCACTACTCAAATCAGTTTTAGTTTTAGTAGTTTTAGTTGAGGTTTTACGGCGCTCGCAACTGCATAAAGTCATAAGAGTGCCAGAAGATTAGGGGTGTTACAAGAGAGTAACAAACATTAAAAAAGAAGGAGGGGAGATAAGGACCATTATACCATAGATGTGTGATAGGAAAGAAGAAGCAAACCACACCAGTGCACCCGCCAACCACCCACGCTGGTATGCTTGAACAGCCAACCACCCACGCTGGTATGCTTGAACAGCCAACCACCCACGCTGGTATGCTTGAACAGCCAACCACCCACACTGGTATGCTTGAACAGCCAACCACCCACACTAAAAAAAAACAGAGCTCGGTCAGTGGAACTACTCACATCGGTGAAATTGATGGGCTGCATCCTCCACTTGAGCGTGGCCCCGACGTCGTTGGGCTCCAGGATGTCGAACGGTACCACGACGTAGGGAGCGATGTCGGCCCCGACGGTGAACGAGATGGTCTTCCTCTCGATGTAGCCGTACAGGGCCGTGAACGGCTCCAGGGCCTGGATCCGGTCCAGCACGCCCATCGACGCGCAGTTGCCCTTCACCAGCTCCGAGGGACATCCTGCCAGAAACAAAAAAACCCACAATGTCGTGAAAAATGTTATGCAGACTCTTTGCCGTAAACGAGATCTTCTGGTCAAGCCACTCCCAGTTATTGACAAAAAGAAAAAAACAACAAGAGGAAGACATACCCATAACGGTGACGGTAAACGAGATCCTCTGGTTGGCTCGCTCCGAGGAGATGTAGACAAACTGCAGGCTCTGTAAGGAGGGCGAGGGCACGTCGAGCGCGCAGCCCATGGTGCCGTTGGTGCACACTTTCTTTGCGGGCTGCGGCAGCTGGGCCTGGGAAGAGAGGCTACTGAGCACCAGGCTACAGTCCTCGGGGTCGCACGAGTCAACGATCACCTGGAAGCTGGACGTGGACCGAGGGACTTTGAAGCTGGGGAGGGGGAGGGGG